ATGTGCCAAATCCTCTTACTCTGCTCCTGATTCAAAGCCTGACTTCTGCACATCCTCTGGGGTTAACTGCCACTTTGGAGCCTGCTTCTCAGTGGACATGAGCATGCCTGTGCTAGAAAGAAGATTTGGAACCCTTTCCTTCCCTCCCCCTCCCTGCTTTTTGGCCATCAGCAGCCTTGTTCCTGCCAGATGGTTGCTGGGCTCCAAAAGAGATTTAATACTAATGTTTGAGGGCTTCTGCGAATCCATCCAAGTATTTCCTGGATTATTTTCACTGTGGTTCCTTAAAGAATACAGAAAGCTCGACAGCACCAAGCAGGTGTGCTGAAAGTCAGCGTTACCGGCATGATATTTGATTAGATCAATCTGGCTTTACATCCCAGGAGGCCTATAGTGCAATGAGTAGGCCATGGCCTCCCATCACAGGGTTCTGCGGATGCCTTCCTTGTCCATCGATGCCTTGCGCTTCGGGTGCCCAGCCTCCTTCCCTCCCCATCCCTGGCACTCGGGTGGCCAAGGCAGTATCGGAATGGCTGTGGCTCCACCTCCGGAAGGACCCGACTCTGATGAAGTTCCACTAGTTGCATCCAAAAGGGAAGCTTGGCAACTTCTGCAGAATTAACCGAGCAAATGGGTGCCTTTTTTCTGCCTCAAGAAAAAGTACAGCCCATACAGGAGACCATCCGTAGGCCACTTCCACCCACATCACCCGAAGTCAAGCGCCCAGCCGCACTGCCAGTCGTAATACTGAAATCCCAACTGTCTGTTGGAATTTGCTCTCCTGGAGAATACTTCGCTCGGGGTTAAGAGAAAGGAAAGGGTCCCGGAGATTATTAGCTGCCTTCCTATTTTTAATGGCTCCCCCCGATCCAGTTTGACTAACATTGTGATTACTCCTTGTAGTCTGTCAGCCAGAATCGCAGTTAATATTTTAAAATTAACATTAATCAAGGAAATGGTGATAATTGGCACAGAAGGCATTCTCTCTCTTTGAGTGAGGGATTGCTGTCATCTAAACATCGCTGAGTGCTTTGAAAGAGAAACCAATTCAAAAATGGCATTATACAAATTATGAAGCTTGGTAACTAGAAAACTGGAAAACATTTTATGCCACTTTGTTGGAAATCCATCCAGAGCAGGTGTTTCCCTGTTTTCATATTGGTTGTGGCTTTCACAATTCCATCAATCTGCAAATATCCCATTAAAAACTGCTGTTGTAGAATAGTTAGACGAGGGAAATTAACCTGAGAAAAATAAGTACCAATATCCCATTTTGATACTTCAGAGCTGCTATTATGCAATTCTGGATAAAGTTGTAAAAATTGAACATTTACATCTTCAGGGTCTTGCCGCAACCATCTTGAATCATCAATACACTCTTTTGATGTTTTTGTTTTGAAGGCACTGTGCTTGATGCTTATTGTATGAATGGGATTATGGCTTGGTCTGGGTCATGTGAACAGTGGCCGAGGGCTACGGTCAGCCTGTGCAACTGCTGAATGGGGTGGGGTGAGGTTCTTCTCCTGTCATAATTCCAGCCCAAGTCCCCTTTCCACAGCTGCCTTTGCAACGGAAAGGAAGCAAATTATAACATGGGGAATGGATCTATTCTATTTCTTTTTGGCAAAGGACAGCAAACTCTGTGTTCATCGTTGCATTCCAGTTCAATTGGTATCTGCTGCTTGCACATAAGGGGACTTACAAGAAAAGTCCCGTGCATGGATCTTCTCTTTCCAGCCTTTACAGAGTGAGAGGGAAGGGCAGGGGTGGAGTTGGACCATATGGTGCTCACAGGACTTGGTCTTGGTCCCTGGCAGCTCCATGGATCTCCAGTAATCAAGTTGGGAAAAGGACTCCGGCCAAGATCTGCAGAGAACTGTTGCAAGAGGAGAAAACAGTGCTTACGATATGGAGCAATGGTGCAGCAGGTGTGAGAGCCCCTGTCTTGGCTGGCTATAGGGAGTTATTTCTTCGGATTCTCCGACCGGAAGGGAGCAGTCCTGTGGCTGGAGACAAGCCATTGCTTGGGATCCTGTTTGGGATTGCATGGCTATTTGCAGAGGATTTTGGAGAAGTGAGGTGGAAGTCCGGAGAGTCAGGGCGGAAGAGATCTCTTTGTGAACCAAAAGGGACCTCACACAATTAAAATGTGCTTCTGGCAGACTTGGGGCAGGGCTAATTTAATTTTTTCTGTCAGTCTGTCTGTCACAGATCAATTAAACTGTCAAGTGGATCAAATATTTCAGACTGTATTTATTACATTAAGTATTTATGTCCAGGCTTGGCCTTTCCAACATGATGTAATACAGCAAGAGTAGGTGCTTTGGATCAATTTTGCAGAATTTGCTATAACTTAATGGAGACCTAATTGCGTGTTTTTGATTTAGAATAGAAGAGGCAGCAGGTTCTTGAAACAACTGAGCTGAGCGCAGTGCAGTGGTGAAGGCCGGGCCTCCACTGGCTGGGATGGGAGCCCTCGTGGCTCGCCAGCTCTTTATGGTCCTGTGTGATGTCCTTGTGAGAAATCAGAATGAGGCAGGAGAAACGAAGCCAGGCCTCCGCCGCCAGAAGCTGCTCCCACTCAGGCCGTGCTCGCTGGCACCCTCCCGTTAAACATTCCCACGCACAGTGTTGAAGCCATGCTAGAGTCCGTCTTCTGGCACCTGGCACATCACACCGAGGGTTCTGTCTGGAAAAACTCTTAGGGTGCAATACTATGCGAGTTAGATAGGAAAACTCCTACAGCTCTCCAGGCAGCATTTCCCTTCCCCTCTTTTTGGGTCTACCTGTTCAAAGTATCATGCCCTTAATTGCTTTGGTCTTAAACTTTTCCCGGGCCAATGGAAAGGCAGAATCAGTTGCATTGTATGTCCCTGCCTTAAATGCCAATCCTGCTTCTCTTATTCTACCTTGAAGTAGTTTTATTAATGTTTGCTATTTCTAGGGTTTATTATTGTCTATTAAGATGAAATGCTATCACATTACTGAACTTGTCAAACTTTGTGAGTAATGTTCTAATATTTTTCCTTTTGTCTAGAATGTAGAAATTGAGTTTTAAAGGGAGTTTTTAAAAGATTAGCATTATTTGGAATAGAAGCAATTCAGTAGACATTCTATGCTTGGGCTTCCAATAAGCATTGGCCTTTTAAATTCTTTTGTTGTCGTCGACGTTGTTGTCTTGCTTACGATCCTTAAATGTTCTTTTCACGCTTTGCATTTGTTTGCAGTGTGATCTAGCCTGAAAATGTTTATATTGAAGGGTGGCCTAGAAACAACATTTTTAAACAAAAAGGAAATAGGACCTATATCCTTCGTGCAATCAGATGTGCATCCATTCAAGTCAGTGGGATATATTTCCTGGAAAGTGGCCATAGGATTGCAACCTACATATGTAAATAAAGAGGAGGATGAGAGTATGGGACAAACGTGTTAGGATTTGCCCAGTAATTGAAGCTATTTAAGTTATTCATAATTCTTCTGGAGTCCAGGATTAGCAATGAAGTTTCCGAGTTGTGGGTAATTCCCAAATATTCTGGAAGGTGAGATTCTATTCAGACTGTGAGAACTCCAGAAAGTGGGAAGTAAATGGCAATCAAGGTTCAGTGAAGCATCCAATGCTGCTCTCTGAGAAGACTTTGGGAGAGCACATTGGCTTGAGGGTATTTTGCCACCAGGTAAAAATGTAGCTTCCGCAGAGTGCCTTTTTCATACAATGTTTTGTTTTTTTATGAATGGCTTTGTTTTAATCATTACTGATTTTTTAAAATCTGGCCGTTTTACTGTTTTGTTGCATTTTGCTTTGGTTTTATGGTGGTGCTTGTTGAACATGGTTCTGTGTTACTTTTGCTTATCATGTGAGTGGCAGAAAATGTACCCCATGCATAGCAAAATAAAGCAAGCAAACCAATATTTTAATGAACCAACTTTAATGGGGGCATTTGAATGATAGCTTTGCAAGCACCATTGTAAAAGTAGTTAATTCTCAGCATCATACGGAATAAAAGGATTGTCTGTAAGACACGGTAAGCCACAACAATCATCCACCTTATTCTGTCCTCATATGTCTTAGCATAGCAGCCCCTCCCTGCCATTTCTAGAGCTTAGCCGAGTGGGTGGGAGGGACACAGCCTTTGTTCCCTGGCTTTGGAATGACTGCTCAGGAAGTTCAGTCGGACCACTTCCTCTTTGGTCTCTTGGTACAATATCAACACCCCGGCCTCCCTCCCCGCTTCTGGCTCCAGAGAGGAAGCCATAACTGTCTCACGGCCCTCAGCTTTTCCACTCGTCTTATTCTTAGCTATAATGTTGAAATGGCTTTGCTATAATTGTTGGACATTGGGCGCAGTCGGGATCTTGAGACTGGCCACTCTCGGTGTTTTGTTCTTTTCCATAGCAGGACGCAGTTGCCCTCTTCCACGGGACTGGAAGGTACGGGCCACTGAGTCACAACACGACACGAAGCTGTGCAACGCTTCTGCTGCAGGGGAAACGCTTTGCTTCACGGTGCCGCCTGTCAGCCAGGCCTTAGAGAGAGGGAGAGCAGAACGTGGCCATTCTGCTCAGAAAATTCTTGGCAAACACCGACATGGAGTCATTTGGATCTCCCAAAGTTCTGGCATGGATTCAAGATGAATTCTGTGCTCTAGCCTGAACATGCAGTAGACTCGTCTCTCCTGCTGTGAGGCCTCCCCAATTCGACATGACCAAAGAGTCTGTCCCACCCTGCAGAGGCCCCCATGTGTGGGAGTGGTTGCATTGAAAGCCCGATGTCCCTTCTGCATATTTCTGGAAGGGGCCCAGAACCTTCTGAATCCGCTCCCTCACACCCTCTGGAAGCAGTGATTCCAGGCTGATGGAGGCCCCACAGCTGCCTCACCCCAAGGTAGAGGTGCCTGCAGGTGGGTAGGAGCCTGCCAAATCCCTCTGGTGCTTGAGTGGAGACAGGTGGATTCTGTGTTGAGTATTCCAGCGGCAGGTAGTGTTTTGTCTTTCTCCTCCAGGTAGCCCGCTGTGCTCTTGTTGCGTCCCTGACCACATGGGTCTCTCCTTCCTCCCCACATATGGCTGCCAGAGCAACCGCACAGCAAGTGTGGCCGCCCTGCGCATGAAGGCCCGGGAGCACTCTGAGGCCGTGCTGCAGTCCGCTAACCTTCTGGCCTCCAGCAGCTCCAGCCCCACCCCCGCGTCGGGGGCCAAGCCTGGGCCAGAGACCGTCTTGGACAACAAGCCCCCCGTGGCTGTGGAGCAGAGCGAGAGCGAGAAAACCCCACCCGCCACATCCTAACGGACTCGTCATCCCAGGAAGCGAAATCGCTGGAATCCCCTGGAGCCCTTCTTCAGCTGCCTGGAGTACTCTGCAACTGGGAGAAGACTTGGTGGTGATCTCCTGGTTCACCAGGCCACACACGCTGGCTTCCTCTGGCCATCTTTCTTGATGACATCTTCACCTCCCGGTGGATTTCCTCAGGTTCCTTATTCTGCTCCCTGCATTTCCTGGCACCATCAGGCATTAGTTCTACCCACAAGGGAACTGGATCTGGGAGTCCTGCTAGGCAGAAACGGAGGATATTTGCCTTGCCTATATTCCCCCCGGAGAAGATGCAGGGCAGCAGCGTCCAACAGACTCCCCTCCCATTAATAAAACAAGCTGATACAATAAAAGATCATGGGGAGCGCTCTTGTTTCATGTATGATGTGCTGGGTATGGAACGCCTCTTGGAATGGTGGTTGATCCGTCACGTGGCCCGGAGAGACCACGGGTGAGTGGCCTGCTGTCTCCATCACTCTCCGAAGGGTTCTACACACAAGCCACTGCCCGGCGTGTAGCGAGGGAGCGAGTCCCGGGTTCCGCAGTGGAATCTGCTGGCACCGCCACTTCCTGGCTCAGGCCACACGGGGCTGAGAAGCAAGGGATGTGGCGAGGCTGTGGCCCGTTTTGTGGGAGTCCGTGCTGCTTCCCTGGGACCATCTCCTCATTCATGCTTCTCTCTGCTTTCCATCCTGGGCTTGGGAGAAGGCAGTGGCAGCATTTAGTGCATTTCTAGGAGCAGCATTGCAATCAGAGGGTGATCCCAGCCTGTATCTTTATTTCTAGGTGGCTGTCTCAGCCATGATTTGGGGGAGCAGAAAGTGTCTGGAAGAGTTTACAACAGTTTGAGAAAACATAGCAGATCAATGTCCAGGCAACACGCATGTTTGGATCATTGGCAGCACAGGCCGAAGCACATCTGCTCAGCAGTAAGTCCTGCTGAGTTCACTGGGGCTTACTCCTAGGCAAGGCGTGGGGCAGCAGCTTATGGAGGTAGTTTTGCAGGGCGCATAGGATCTTTAGATCCACTTTCTTCCAAGGAGGGATGGCTTGACTGGCTTTGTTCTGCCTGAGTTCTCGAGAGCTTCTTTTCATTTCAGCCATCTCACCTCGTCACAACTGGAGCTTCACACTAGCATATGTTTCTGCCTCACGTTCTTAATTATTTGGGAGGCTTCAGTCAGCATATAATTAATCTCGTCCACAGAGCGGAAGGAAGAGATGCCTCCAAAGCCACTGTAGCAGCAGTTGACAATCAAGGGTTAGGTAGTGAATTGGTGTCTCTGGGGTGGCATGCTTCCCTATTTAGCTACACCCCACTGACTCCCATGGGTCCAAGTCCACTGAATGACTGCTAAGGCCGGTCTGCTCAGGTTCCTTCTTTTGGAAGAGGCTTCCATGGGTCTGAAGGCTTTGCTCCTCTCTTACTGTGACTGTTTGATTTTGATGATTGGAATAACTGTCAAAGACCCCAGATTTGCCTGCAAAGGTTGGAGGGCCCTATCCGAGCAATTACAGTGCCCCTTAAATACATTTCTTAGGTGGTGTTCAGCTATAGGACCAGAACCACATTCAGTCCCAGGCAATCCTGTATATGTCCACTCAGGTGTAAGCTCAGTGAGCCGAGCAGGCAGGCATAGGATTGCAGATGGAAACACACCAAACCAGGTGTCCTCAGCATCTCTCTGCATGATCATGAAAATACCCTGTAGAATGAAATGAGCATGAAGGGTCCAATTCATGAAAGAGGCACAGCCATCCAGCATAGATGTGCTGCTTGCTTATCTCAAATAACTCCATGGAAGGGAGAGAATGGGCCCACAAGCCCGTGGCAGGAGTCTCTCCAGATCAGGGCTCCTGAAGCAGCTGGCTTCATTGAGGCTGGGCTTGGGCCTCCCATGCCGTGTGACAGCGTTGCACAGGACTGGGCCACGGCGTGGCTTCCCACCCCACGCCTGGTAGAGAACACCGCTTTGAGAGGGTTGCTCTTTGTTTAAACTTGACCCACTGCTAATTTATTCTGTCCCATTGATCAATTTGCATCTCAAAAGCAGAAGCAGGCAGCTAGAGCAGCTGTGGTAATCAAAGCATCCCTGCGGAGTTTGGATCCACCCAGGATTCTCCAGCTGCAAATTCTCTTCATCTTAAGCTCTTAAGCATTTATCTGAAGAGCAACAAGAATGCCCTTCCTGCCAACAGAAACTTTCAGACATCTTGGGTGGAGGAGGAATCCCTGCCCCAATTCTTGATCATTCCAGACATCATTTGCATTTCTTTCCCCAAAAATCCCCTTTTTTTGCTCAAGTTCCACCGCAAAAATGGTTTGCCAAATATAAGCAATCTCAATTTCATTTCATCATAATTACCGATCATTCAGATGAACTTGGCCCCTACATACACTAACTCTTCATTCTAATGGTTTGATTAAACTCATTTTTCCTGTAGAAAGGTACATAAATAAGTGAACTGTTGAGCAAATTAAGAATACTTAACAGCGTTGCATCTGAAAAGTAGTTATGCTGATTAAATTTTCTGTCCTTGAGGATTTTCAGGAAATTACTTTTGATCGTCAATAACACAATTAAGTAAACTACACGCACATTAGCATGAATAATTGATAAGAAATTATGTATTACCACGAAGCACTGATTTAATAATTCATGGCGTGCCACTCTAGTGACTGTGCAAAACTGGAGACTATCGCAGGGCCCGCCTGATGCGGCTGGAAAATGTGCCTGCCGGTTTTGCTGTATAATAAATAACGAAAAATACCTACTGCATGATGTATTTTCTCTTGGTTTAATAAAACAAAGAAAACATAGAAAAAAGGACCCCAAGGAGAGCTCTGCATTATTTTTCAGTTTTTTCCCACCATCCATATATTTTTGGTTTGGTTATATATAGCAAAGATCTGTCTCTGAGTCTGTACACACACACACACACACACGCATGCTCACGAGACAGACTTTACAGATCTTGAACTTGGGTCCACCTCACGCTCTGACTGGCCCATTTTGCAAAATCTCAGATAGTAACGGTTCTTCCTCAGCTTTGTACGGGTGAGGATTTTCACGACAGACTCCAAGGACTGAGGTGCCCCGGACTTGGTGCAGGACGTGTGCTGCAACAGGGAGCTGTGGTGATGGCAAAGGGGGCAGAGGTGAGGTGGAAACGCCCAATGGATGCTAAGAAGCAGTTGGTCCTGGCCCCACCTGGCAGGTGAGGAACTCTGAGCAGCAGCAGGCCCCGCCCTTCCCGGTGGCAGTGCCCTGCGCACTCAGTTTCCAGCAGTCACTGAGAGCTCTGTGGTGGGAGGACGATGGGTGATCGCCCTAGTTTTACAGTACCTGAGTCGATCACCAGATATGAAGAAACTGCCTGAATCAGCAACCCCCGAACTCCGCTGCCTGCCAACAGAATGGTTTCCGTGTGCATATAATTAATGTTCACACATGCAAAAGAGTCAGGAAGAATGCAATTCTGGGGCAGCCCAACGCAGCCTGCCCTCACAGATAGTGTGGAAGGACCCCCCCCCCGCCAAAAGCAGATGCAGGTGGGTCTCGGGGGCGGGGGGAGAACATGCTGGTGGGAGGGCAGGGGTGGGGCGGGGCCATGGATTTTCATGGATTCATAGAAGAGTAGGGTTGGAAGGGGCCAAGAAGGCCATCGAGTCCAGCCCCCTGCTGTTGCAGGACACCATGTTACACCCTCCCACTCAGGGGGCTGTCCAGTTTTGCCTTTACTGTCTCTAATGTGAGACGTAAACCCCTTCCAGTCCGATTCCCAGCCTTCTCCCCTCCTTGGTTATAGCACTAAATGTAGATGGCCAAAAATGACCATCTAGAGAAACAGCTGGTGCGATGGGGGCAGAGGTCACCCATACCTTGTGCCGGGCAGAGGACACCCAGAAGCCTCTTAGCTCAGAGCATACAGACCTTTGCCCTGCCATGATAGGAGGGCATGCCAAATAGCTTACCCAAGCAAGGAATTTCCTGCGCAAACTGGGCTGGTTGGAGGAGAATTTGGAAGGTACTCCAGAAACAGGCCCAGGATTGGAAGGGACGTAGCGCTAGAGGGCAGCTCTTGACCTCTGCTCATCTCCTTGGCCTTCCATTGTATTTACCTGTCATTGCTCTTTCTTCCTCCGTCCCACTGGAAATGATCTGACTGCTCTGGAAAGGTAAGCAGAGAGGAATGATCTACACAGAGGAAAAGCCAGCCCCATGTGCCACATTTAAAACTGGCCTTTTCTCCTCTTGCAAGGAACCTAGGCAGATGAAACGGTTCAGTTCTCCTCCTCTCTGTTTTATCATCACAATAGCAGCTTTGTGAGGCGGGCTGGGCTGAGGCAGGGACCGGCCCGCAGTCTCCCAGTGGCTAAGTCAGGACTAGAACCTGGACCTCCCAGGTCGGCTCCTTCTTAGCACTGCAATGACCACATCACAGCAGCTCTCTTCCAACTGCGGCCCTTGCAGCTTTTGCTGCTTGTTTCCTTGGGGAGTGCTGCCCTCCTTACCAGGTGCTTCTCCATGAGAATCCCTGATTGCACGCTTGCTGCCCTCCCCGCCCCCCCGCACAGAAGTCTCTGGGTCCTTTTTACAACCTTGCCATCCTTTTCACAGCTTTTCTTGTTTTGGACGAAGGGCAGTCAGCTATTTTCCTGGATATTGCCACTATTCGCTACAGAGGTTTGGTGCCATTTCACAAGTCCACCCTCTGCCACAAAGCCACCTCGCGTTGTCTAATGGAACAGCTGATTTAGGACTCTTGGCGCAGTTCATAAATCCCATGAATAAATAAACACACGAAAAGGAATGTGCTGATTCTCTAAGCCTCTCACAGAAGCAGCCCGGCTAAACGCCTCCTGCAGAAAAGCCCGGGGCGGAGTTGGCTTGGGCAGGGCTCTTTTCCACACGGCTAATTTAGGATTTCACTCGGTGTTAAGGCAGGTGGGGACCCTGAGGCTTCGAGGCCCGGCTGCCTGAGCCCCTCTCCCCTAGCCCCACGCCCTTTCCCCCAAAACTGGCTGGCGGCTTTCTGCCTTTGCGCCTTCCCTGCCCCCTGTACATTAAGAGGTGAAAGCCCCTCTGTGGAGGCTTCGTAAGCGGCCCCGTGTGGCTCGCTGAGGTCTGGCCCTCCCCATCCTTGGCACGTGGCCCCCAGGAGTTGCCTCAGAGCTGTTTTGCACGCCTGCTCTAACAACACAGCAGCACGAGACGCACCAAGGGCCGGGAAGGTCCCTCACCTCACCTCACCTCACCTCACCTCACCTCACCGCACGAACGGCTGTGGGTGGAAGACCAGAACTGCCATGAAACTGCCCAAAGCACTCCTTCATATGCGCGCACGTGCACGCGCACACACACAGACACAACAGCTGAATTATGCAATACAACTGAGAGAACAGCATGCCGAAAGGGTAGTCCATCCCACTGCCACGGCTGCTTTGTTCATGGCTCATGGCTCTTCCTGGAGAAGAAGTTGGATCCAGCACCCGGCCAGCCCTGGAACTTCCTGGCCGTGACCCAGAATGAAGGTTGCTGCACGAGCGTGCTTCGGAGCGCATGCTTGGAGCCCGGAACCTGGCACGTGTGCGTCTGCGTTGCGCTAGTCGTCAGCTCTGTAAAGAAGACATTGACCAGGCACCGAAACTGTGCCGTGCCCGTGTAACCAGTCCTTGTGGACAACTTCAGTCCCGACTGACCAAAAGGTCCGCACTTCTCCCATTGCTGAGAACCAGGGGGCCCACTTCTGTGTGTGAAGGAAGCCGGGGAGACCGCCCAGCCTCGGGACTAGGCTGGCAATGGGCTGTTGGCCCCACTTAAAGCCCATATCCAAAACCCAGGGCAGGTGAAAGCCGATAAAAACAGAGCAAGAGGAAAGCTACATGTGAAGAATTCTAAAGGAATCTTGCAAAGGAAATTTCATGGAAGTGTACCACGCATCTTCAGGCTGTTCCTGTGTGATGCATGAAATAAATGCATACCTGAAATGTTTTTCCCAGGTAAAGCATTTGTGGAAGCATTCAGGGGGTGGGGGAAGAATTTTGACCAAACCACAAACTTCTCTGCGATGGAATTTGCAAAATGTGCAATAAAGTATTGACCGCCAGGATCCAATTTGGTGTGGAATGAGGACCCAGGGCGACCCTTGGATAGGTCACCCGGGGCTGAGACAGAGAGTAGGTGGGGGCAGGGATGGGGAGCTGCCAGAGGGACCCAGCTCTAGCTCCTGCCTCTGCCACCATCCCCGGTGCTTCTGGGTCTGGGTCCGGGTCCGGCGACAAATTGGGAGCAGAAGATGGAGGGGCTGAGGGGATGTGGAAGGGCCTTCTGTGTAGAAGCTCCTTTGGTGAGGGCTGGAACTCTCATTGGTCCCTGTGACCAATTTGCTGTGCATTTTGCAGATGCAATTGATCACCTTCATGCAGACTTAGATGTCATTGTTTTGGCTGGAGCTGGAGCACAATCTAGGCATGTTGTTATTGTTGTCTGGGTGAACCTGCTTAGAAGTTCTCTGTTGAAGAGTGAGCAAATCAGGTTACTCTGTGAGCCTTGAATCCTAAGCTGAGACTAGCTTGGAACAAAGGGGGAGAGTCTGTTAAGGAAAAAATGCATACAGCGAGAACATCCTAAAACTCAGTTCTGTCTAGCAAGACATGCGCTCAAGATGAGCTTCTGGGGGGAGCAGAAGCATGATTGCACAGGAGCTGCAGTGACCCACGTGTAGCAAAATGCATTTAGCAAAGTTGACATGCATTGCGAAGAACGAAAGCAGTTCTCATTGTACTGCAAGGAGTGTTCATCTGCAGTGATGATGCTGAAGGTCTGGAGAGGGATTGAATGCAGAAAGCATTTCTGCAATGGCTCTTATATCAGACTAAAATACTTCTGGTAGCCACAAATCCAGTCAGAAATGAAATAAATAAATAAAAACTTTGCTGATGAAGAAGAGCTACTGTTTGTGGCTAGGTGGGAAAAGTTTAAACATTGAAAACATCTAGGCCCCACATGTCAAACACACCCTCTCGCTCTCTCTCACACACGCCTTGAAGAGCTTATAATCTGGTGAAGATAAATAGGGAGAGATAAACCGAATTCAGTTACGTGTTCTGATTGACTGATTAATAGATTCTGTTTAATTAATTATTTGAGAATATGACAATTGCAATTAACTGTCTTCCAGACAGAACTACTGTGCCCCTTCACTTATATTGGCCTCCAGAAATGAGTATAATTTTCATGAAAATCCTTCTGGAAGACATTTAGATTTTAATTATTAGGTTTTTAAATAGGCCTTGCCAGGCTTACATTGCTCCATTGATGGTTTCCGCTCGTGCACCAGCTGGTGGCCGTTCCCCCTTTGGGGCGCCCGGCTGCTCCAGTGACTCCGCCTCCCCGCCTCCTTTGCCTCCCCCTCTGCCCATCCTCTGCCATCGCCCCTGCTCTCCTCCCCCTGCTCCGTGTGCTTCCGGTGGAAGTGAGTGTTCCACTTGTGCACTCTCAAGGAACACAACCGGGAACTGGGGAAGTGGAGCCCAGCATGGAGCAACCCTTCTGGAGAACATCCTGGACAGGTGGTCTTCTTAACCTGCACGCCATGAAATGTTCTGATGCACTGGTCTGAATTAATATAATTCAGCATAGTTCTCAATCTCCCCATGGAATTGCTATGAAATACCATTTAAAGGAAGGCGATCATTTTGATCTGGTTTACCAGCTTGGCACAGTTCCCACCCCCTGCTCTTAAGGCCTGCACCGGAAACCCTGGTTTCGTGCCCAAGCATACAAACCCTCCGGATATCTGTCCACTCCTCTTCTCCACTGCACTCCCATACTGGGTAGGCTGGGCGCCAGAGAGCCCCTCGCATTCCAGGGAGGGAGCGCGCCGTGGGGAAGGCTGCTGGCTCGAACTGGGGTGGCGAATCAGCCTCTTGGCTGCTCCAGACTGCAGGCGGAGGCTGCCCAGGCCAGGGAGGTCCATCCACAGGAAAACGCTCCTCGCATGGGGTGTTGGGGGCAAGCGAGCCTTCAGCCAGGGGAACCCTGCCCGGCCCCATCGCTTGTTGTGAGCCGCCCTGAGGCTTTGTCGCGATGGGGGCGGCATAAAAATGTTTTAAATAAATAATAATAAGTAAGTAAGTGCTGGCGGGACGTTGTCGCCAGGGGACCTCCGCGTGCCAAAAGGGGGCTACCCTGCATTAGGGCGCCTTCCTATATCAGGGAATGCCACGCTGGCTTTCCTGGTGGCTCAGGTGAGCTTGATGAGGCAGCCTTGGTAAGCAGGCGCAACCCCAAAGAGAACGACACACAGAGGATAAAATAGCATCTTCATCCACTTTGTGCCTGGTCAGATCAATGATCTAAGATCATTGCATCTGTGCTCAGAAGGAGACGGCCTCAGACCAGCTAGATGCGACGTGGTGAAGACGTGATTGGGAGCTCTCGGTTTCTAATGTTTTAAGCCAAGCAGTTGCAGGGCGGAGCAGGCGGGATCGGGGCGACCCTGCTGGGGAGTGGGAGAAGCCCTTCTCTTACACCTCCCACACACTGGCCCTGGGAGGGGACCGACCACCATCCGGTCCCACGATTTCCAGGGGCGTCTGCAGCCCCTGGTGCCGCATGTGTGAAAGCAGATACCCCTGCTGAAAAAGAGTTGTTCTTTGCCTGCAGTGGCGATTCCAGAGGAGAGCCACCTCTGCTGGCGATACGGATGCAAGGCATTCCTCAACTGTTCCTGACTGAAAAACGAACCACTGCAATCAGCTGTCTCTTGGGCTGTGCTTGTTGCTACAGACAGTTTCCAACGCAGCAACTGTGCCCGACGAATCACGGCTCTGAGACTGCAGGACTAGACCTGTCTTTTTAGAGTGCACCTATGAAATGCTCCACTCACACGCTTACAACTGCTTCTTGGTCATGCTTGTAAAACCAGCCACACCCCTCAAGTCCAACCCATTGAGAGGCACAAAGTCCAGGAAAAGAGCTGCAGTGAAAAATAAATTTATAATATTATACATTGAACCATAACCAAGATGCATCATCCTCGCCCCCAATTCAAAAGTGTACTTTTGTTTTGCACCATTGCTAATACTTCCATGATTATTGCAAACCTAATTTTGCAACGTTTTGCAGGATTTCTTTTTCACACTGCTCTTATGGTGGTCAGGGCAAATAAGCAGTGAGTGCTGGATGTGTGTGGGCAGAACAGAAGAGTTCTTGAGGGAAAGGCAGGTAGCTTTAGAGGTCATAAAAATCCCAAAACTCTGCATCACTGGACCTTTTTGTGATGAGTGCTTTCGTATTTCCAAATGTATCTCCCATACCATGGGCATTAGAATGCGATTTATTTAAAAATGAAAATTTGGGTGGCCAACGTCCATCACAAAGATCATCCAGTGACCTTCGTCACTGAGGTGACTATTATAAGTTAATACATTTCTATGATAGTGGACAGGTTAGCAGATGCTCCGTACCACTACCAAACTAGTGTCCTCCAGATATTTGGACCTTCCTCCCATCGGCCCCAGCAAGCATGGTCAGAGTCCATAGTAGGAAACATCTAGGGGGCACCTGGTTGGAGAAGCTTGCACTGCCATATGGAGCTCCTGATAGATGGTGCTGCACAAGCACCTAGGAAACCTTGGGAATGGCCGCCTGCTTTGCCACACTGGTTGCATTGCTGCATTCTCGCGGCTTGGAGGCCGTCATGCTAAGAGGTGTAAGTGGTCTCATGACGTGGTGTTGGACAGTTAAGTGAATCTCAGTGAGTTTTAGATTTAGGGTCTCCAGTCTTCCTCTCCGTGTTCATTTTCTAGACAAATTCTGCCTCATTACTCTTTTTGTTTGAGGGACACAAACCTGTACCAGATCCAAAGAAAAGGGAAGTGTCAGTGGCAATACGGTCAAGGCAATGAAAAACAGAAAAAACGAAAAGTGGCAGATTCCTCGGTGAATAGAGAGTGAACACGTATCTTTCAACTCACTAGCCCACGTTTTCCACTGACCGTGAGGTATGGAACATACATGCGAGGATGTGTCCTAATTAGACTGTCCAGCAACACTTTGGTGTATACCATGCAATTCTACCAGGACACTCGTGAATCCATGGTAAAGTTTCGGAAAGACCTGTGTTAATGCATTTGCTTTTTCTAAGTACACAAAAAGTGAATTCTCATTCCTACGTTTGATTCTTGTCACCAGGGAGCTTGTGTCAGCCACTGCCAAGAAAAAATTTGAGCCTTGTGATTTTTCCCACAGAGAATCTGTCCCCCGTTTCTCTCCATCCCACGTCATGCTGTTGCTTGATCCATAAGATGGGCGGCCGCACCAGAGCTTTTGGGCTGCACAGTCTTTGCCTTGCTTTTAGTTTGGGCTTCGTTGCCTCGGAGACAGTCGCCCGGGTTTCCTCCTGCCCTGACTGCGCCCAGATCCAGCCTTTTACATGGGTACCTACATTAGAGAGGGTGCGCTTGCATTCAGACGCCCTACCTAGGTCTCTAAAACCATGATGAACACCTGCATGCTCACAGTGCACCTTCAACCACAAAATCTTCAGCTGCACCAAATGAAATTACATCAGCAGCGGTAGCAGGAAGGCTTGTATCCTTTCCAAAGTCGCGTCGTGACTCATTCACCTCTTGGCTAGGAGCCTCCAGCAGGGCGGGCTCAAGGGCCCAGGGGCCTTCTGGAGGTTCTGGATTCAGGTCGCTGGGCAGCCAGCCTGCAGCGGATCCTGTGCGTGCGCCTCGCTGAAATGAGGCAGGTCCAGAAAGCTGAGAAGGCGATGCCATGAGTGGGACAGACGAAACCCGAGGAGGGAGAGCACTGGGGCACAAGACGTAAGGAGAAGGGGGCAGCTCTGAGGCGGGCGCTTGAGCCCAGGTCTTGTCTGCAGGCGGAACTGAGACTTGCACATACCTGCCACTTTCTGGATCATAAAAGGTCTTTAACTGAGCGGGTAAATCTACAATAAAATACTCTCCTGAATCTGGATCCTGAAGGAGCTTGCGCTGCATTGCAGGTAAAGAATGTGTGGGGCTTAATGGGGGGCCAGGCTGCAGCCTCACTGAGTTAGAGTCCAAAGGTGCCAAGGGAGAACTCGAGCCTGCTGTGGGGAGTGGAGGCTGGGCTGGCGGCAAGGGCGTCGTGTCTGCGGGCTCATCCTGAAGCTGCTTCTGCTGCGCCTCCATTTTTTTCCTCCGACTTGCCAATTTCTTGGCCCTCCGTAAAGCTTTTTCTGTTTTCGGTGGCACAGCAGGGGGCTTGGCTGCCGTCTTGGCCATTCGACCCATCAGGCCGCTCACAAGAGGACTGCCGTTGTCCTCTCCAGAGGGCTCCGTCGCCTGCAGCGAATCCGGCGTTTCCACGGCAGGAGGCTTATCTCTGCTTTCACGTAGTGAAGGAACGTGTGCCCCCTTTTCAGGCTGCGATACACTGGACGTGGCTGCTGCAGCTGGCTGTGGTGTTGCAAAGGCCGATGGCCTCGTGCTGTCTGGCCTTGGAGCAGCAGGACCCGCTAAGCTGCCTGCTGTGGCTGAAGCATCTACAAAGCCATCGCCGGAAGCAGGAGAACCTGCCTGGCTCCCCAATACCATGGGAGAGCTTCTCTCTTGACTTATTATTTTTTTTGCACAAGAGCCACCTCTGTATTTAGAAAGGGGGTTACTTTTGAAATAATTTGTCCGTCCTCTTGTAGGAGATGGTTGCTTGCTTTGTGCCAGGTCACCTTCAAAAACAAGGTTTAGCTGACTGGCAGAACTTGGCCTCAGTTTTCCGGTTCTAGTCTTTTTTTTGGCTTTGGCCAATTTCCCACTCCCTTTCAAATCTTTCTGGGGTGACACTGATGTCACATTAGTTCCCGCATCATCCCCCACCAGCTCCTGTGCATAAAAGCTGCCCAGTCCTTCCCCGAGAGCGTACTCTGCCCCCGAGCTGCTCCTGTCTGCCACTTGGCCGCCCTCGTTCACCAGGGTGGATCCTGGCTCATCAGCATCTCTGCTGTGAGTCGCGTCCCTTGCATTCTGCTGGCTCCTGCATCTTGGCACAGGCAAGTCCCTCTCTTGAGTATTTTGAGTGGCCCGAATGGGCCCATACGCCTGCATTTCAGCCTCACTGTGGCTGCCAAACTCTTCGCAGGACAAAGACCTGAGGAGAGGCAGTTTGACTGCTTTTGTCACAGGTGAGGACTTAAATGTGTTGTCTTTAATCATGAACAAATTAGGCTTAAAGGAAAGGGATGAAGTTGGTGTCAGTTGCTCCTCCGACTTGCCTTCCGAAGCAGAATCCACGCCTTGCCACCCGTCGTCTTTCTTCTCCATGACCATTCTTTCTTGCGCTGCATCCTCATTTTCACTCTGCTCTTTTTTCCTCTCACACTTCCAGTTTGCACTAGGGTTACAGTTGGTAAAAAGGTCGTCATGCGATCTCCTTTCCCTTTCTTCTTTCACTTTTTCTTTGCTTTCCACCTTTTCTTCTCTGCTCATGTCATTCCTCTGGCTTTCTTGAAGGCACGCTTTCTGAAAGAGCTGCATGAGAGAAGAAGGTGACTCATTAAAGGGCTGATCTGTCATAGACACGAACGATTGCTCAGAAGAGCTGGTGCTTCTTTTGTCTTTGCGTTCATGCCCGGTTAGCAGGCAGACCTGGTATTCGTTGTTATTCATGCCTTCTTCAGCAGCGAAAAATAAACGGGGGGATGTGTGAGGTCCAACATCAGTATTCTGCCTTGCAGTATCTCTGATATTTTTCAGATTTTGCAAACAAACACTTTGCATGCACACTTCCTGCTCCATTGACTCATCTGCAAAGTAGGCGTTGGGTGAAGGAGAACGTCGTCTGGCCCTGTGATCATTTTGGTGGAGTCCTGTCACAGAGTCCTCCACATCCACCAGATTACCTTGCCAAACACTGTCCCTGTTTTGGTAGTTCAAACTATCTCCTCTTGAGATGGGTGAATGCAAAGTCAGATAATTGCCTGTGAGATTCCCATTTAAATGGGCGGCACTGTCCTCCTCCTTGGCACTGACCATTTGTCCAGAAGCTCTGTGGCCTTTCTCATAATCCTCTACCAATTTCACGCTGCCATCTTCTAGCACACCGGTTGAGATAACACTTGCTTTTATGTTTTCCTGTTCTTTGATTTTCTTTCTGTCTTCATTGGCTTGTGGGAGAGGAGAGGCACTGTAAGTGCTTTTCACACGTTTTCGGATATCCTTCAGGTTGAATAACAAACTTGGTGCTTTAGATTTATAATTGTTCTGAGAACAATACAGTGTTCTCTCATCAGATTCTTTGGTTACTCTAGTGTCGGATAAGGGAGGAGTTACCAGCAACAACTGATTTTCTGTTGGCTGTTTGCCCTGTGTGGGTGGTATAACTGGAGTTAAAAGTTTTGAGATGTTGAAAGAAGGACTGGAGGGTTCTGATGAAATTGTGTGTGAATCTATCACGGCCGCTTCAGCCAATGGACTGACATCGGATAAGCCCTCCCTTAGCTTAGGTGCTTCCGTTTCGGCATCCAAACCCATTTCCCCAAGGGGGACCTTTTTCTTTCTCCAGGGGAGGTGAGAAGTTTCCGACTCAGGCTTCAGTTCTAAATGACCGGTTTTCTTTGTCCGCAGAGTAGCTTGTGGCACCCGCGCTTGTGCTTCAGGGCTCTGGGATGCTGCTTCCGGTGGAGTGGAGACCCACGACCCAGCTGATGGTGCAAGGGGGGCCTTGGACCTTGGTACTGGTGAAGCAACTTGAGGGATCAGCGTTGGTGGAAAATGAGCGCGCGCTGGGAGAGACAGGGGGGTAGGAATTTTGTGCACGGAGGCTGCCGGATCGGGTACTTGGGCTAACAACATCTGCTCAGCAGTAACTTTGGCCTTAGGTAGTGCAGGAAAGTGTATCTGGGCTGGAGATACTGGAGAGAGAGCAGCTTTGGAGCGAGGCTTCTGTGAAAAGGCCTCTGGGAAATCTCGTTCGAGAATGGCAGGAGCTGTGACTTGGTGGGAAGTTAGTTTCTGCTCAGGAGTGCAGGAGTCCTCAAAGAAAGGCGTGTCTTCAATGTATGTGAGGTTTTTCCCTTTGGGCGTAATTTCTGCAGCTCCTCCTGTTTCAATCAGTTTTCTGTAATGTGCATTCCATGATTCAAAAGCACTGTTTTCACTGTGAAGAAAATTGACATTTCTGGTTAGCTCTTTTGCTTTCCCAGTTCTGTTTTTCACCGCCTTTTTGGAGACAGTGGCGATATTGAACTTGGGTAGACCAGGCGCATATGCCTGAGGAAGGTTGAAACCACGTGCACCTTGGCAGTCCAGATCCATCCTGCCGTGCCTTTTGTGTAGGTTATGCCTGCCCCTTGCAGTTGCTGCATCTTGGCAAGTGTCCGAAAGTGCAGAGAACTCTTTTTGAATGCTTAAAATGGTTTTGCCATCCCAGAAAGTAACATTGCCTCCACTCATCAGTGGGTGGTCTATCGAGCGGCTTTTAGTGGGCTGCTTGCTTATGGCCACCGACTCCGGGCTATCAAAGGTCTTTATCAATGAGGACACTTTTGAGGTATGCTTATAGCTGTGCAGGCCAGACACTGGCATAGCTGGCTTCCTGCTGATGTTTGCCCAGGCCTTCTCTCGTGGAGTGTCCTTTGGAAACCGCTGGAATGTTGGATGCTCCCCAGGCTTTGCTGATTGCTTGTTGGCGTCTGTGGATTTCTTGATGACATGATTCCATGGGCTGTGGAGGAATTTGCTAGTGAACTGATGGGAGGGGATATTCGATGAAAGAACTGCATCCGGTTCTGTGTAGGATGCTTCAAGCTCAGCTACACAGAGGCTTTTGAAGGCTCGATCGGTGAGGCTGCAGACTTCTCTGTCTGTGTCATCTAGGAAACTCCCAATGCTGGAGGAATCACTTTGTCCATCTGTGTGCTTCTTATTCACCTGCATTGTCCATATGAGGCATGCATCAAATTATCAAAATGACACGCTCATAGTTCAAATAGGTAGGCAATTCTTCCGGCTACCATTTCTTGGCCATTATCAACACCTCTGGGTGACTCTCTCTTCCAGAAGGTGCAGCTTTATATTCATTTATCATATGGAAGCACAAAACAGGGCGTTCTGCTCTGCAAATGAAACACATATAATACATATTATTGTATTGCAATAGAATGCAGTTGTACACCATTTTTCTCTCCTCACTGATCCCCAGCTTATCCTTCTGGAAACATCCTGTGTTAAAAAGCAATAGTCTTCGATTTAGACTACTCAAAGCAGGTTTCTAAATGAAAACTGTGTCAGCAATGCACTCTTCTTAGCTAATATGCTTGCAGTTAATTAAGCGGATGCTCAAGATCTTTCTCTCCTCTCCAGAATGTTGGTGACATGCAGGTACGTGAGGGGATGTCACACAGAGGTGGGTAGAAACCTCCTCTGTGGAGGAAGGCAGGATGCGCTCCAACGGAGCAAAGCTCAGGGAACCCAGGTTCCATTTGAATGCCAGGAAGCACTTCCTGACAGTTGGGACCCCGAGGGTGTGGAATGGGCTTCTACAGGGACAGGCTGGACGTGCACATGGTGGGCATGTCGTGAGCGGAGCTGGCTGGTGCCGGAGGTCAGACTAGATGGCCCGGGAGGCCCCTTCTGACTTGCTCTGTTTTTATGTTTCTAAACCTTCCCACCCAGTCCTTCCCCTTCCTTTTGCTAGTGGGCCTGGGAAAGGAGCAGGAAAAGGAGAAGAGAGGGCAGGCTGGCTTGCGAGGAGAGCTGCTGAAAGGGGACCCTTGGACAGGCAGTGGAATTTGGTGACAAGCAGCTTGGCAGACATCTTCTGGTAGCATGGCCTTGGCAGTGGAATCTTGCATTATATCTTATTTATATATGTAATAACATGTGCATAAGACTTCTGTGTGTGTAGTAGCGTTCAATGGCTTAATTGCAGCAGTTGTATGCTCTTTAGAACTCATTTGTTTGCATCAGCAGAAAATGTCATTACTGTAAAATATCATGATGAGTAGGCTGCAGTGGTATCTTAATATGAGAATTAACAGAATTCCTGTTATCTAAAGCATGTTTTTGCTATCCCGTAAGGCGTGCTTCCCACTGTGTTTTACACTCTATGGATTATTCTTGCCCTGTACTTAATCCATTAATTACATTTTAATTTAGACTTTGCAATGTTTCCATTGATTGTGTTTCATGTTATGATGATGATGGTGATGCATTTCATTCCTTTACTGCCCAATACTTAAAGCTCTCTTGGCAGTTTAAAGCAGTTCTTAAACAATACAACCAAACACAATATTTATTTCAAATTTTTAAAACAGAAACAGTTCAAGCCCTTAAAGTATTCTTGTATGTCTTGAAATGTATCTGAACCCGATGCTGAAAGGATGACCAGGTGGGCGCCAGGTGGGCCTCAGTGTGAAGACCATTCCATGGGGAGAGGGCCACCATGGAGAGGTTCTCCCTCTTGTTGCTGCCCTCCAAGCCTCCCTGGAAAACGGCACTCAAGGGAAGGTCCCGCGTGTTGGCTGCAGGGTCTGGTCGACCACAATTCAGCTGGATGCTGCATCCAGCACTGTGGCCCCTGGCCAGGTAAGGTCAAAGCCGGGACCTTGAGCAGTGCTCGGAAGCATATGGACAGCCGGGGCAGGCAAGGCACAACTCGGCGTGTCTTGGTGATTAGTCTGGCAACTGTGTTTTGCACGAGCTGCAGCTTCTGTGCAGCCATCAAGGGCAGCCCTGGGCCGAAACCTAATTCAGCCCCCAAGAGTAGATGACTGGAACAGCATTATTCTAGTCCAGGTAACGGTGAAGCTGGGCCACCAGCTCCATGCTCCCTAGGCCTCCTAAGGCTCAAGCAGCAAGGATGGTCCAAGGAGGGAACCCCAGGTTAGGAGCCTGCTCCTTCAAGGTGAGTGTGACCCCACCCAGAACAGAATGAACACTCTCCGTGGCCCAAAAGGTTCGCATCATCGGCCAGTGCACTTCACTGCTCTGTTCTGGACCAGCAGAAGCTCCCAGGTGATTTTCAAAGGCAGCCCAGCATATGTCCCATTGCAGCAATCTAGCCAAGAGGTTATTTATTTATTTAAAACATTTCTATGCTGCCCCCATCACAACAAAGCCTCAGGGCAGCTCACAACAAAAACAAAAACAAACAAAATCATATAAAAATTTATACACTAAAAATATTAAAACCCAGTACATGCATTGCTGCAGTTGGGCTGTCCCATCCAGGCACGAATCTGACTGCTGCATCAGCTGGAGCTGCTAAATGTGCTCCTGACAACCAAGCCCACCCCGGTTCTGGTGGCAACCCTGGATCCAAACTATTTCCACTTTGACATCGTGACTTTATTTACCGATCACAGCAGGAACAGCTGTTGCTAAGTGCAAATACCAGAAGCGTGGTGAAATGTGTCTCCATGAATCACAGCGCATCACCACAGAGAACCAACAGTGGGCTCTAAGTTTCCATGTTTCAGCATTGCTTCTTGTTATGGAGGAAGCTGATTATGATCTTTTGCTTCCAGAACCTGTTGTGCACAACATGCCCAAATAGACCAGGAACCATTTGGTCGGTCTGGGCAGTTACAACTTTTGTACATTGTCTTTCTAGTAGGGAACTGATTTAATTTTGCTTGAAAGGTGTTGCTTATTAAAACGGTAATGAGCAATGGAATTCTAGCTCTTTCATGAAGCCAAATGGTACCAAGAACGCGTTATCTACACCACATCACCCGGCAAGGAATGGGCTGGCCAAACACTTTATCCAAACCACCAAATGTCCTTTGAAAGGTGCAGAGGAATACTCAGGCTCCTTCTTTGTTAAACTTTCAAACGCCTGTTGGCCTGTTCCATGTCAACCAATCAGACAACTTCCAGCTTGTTTCTGGGATACAATCTGAGATCATAATTGGATTTGTCAAGATCTGACCTCCACAGGAATGATCTCAACAAGCAGAATATTCAGATCAAGCACTGGAAATATTCGTCACTTAGGGAAGCACAAATAGATCCATGTGTGCTTGTTTAAGCACGTAGATAAGACTAAAAAATGGAGCCCAGGTACTATTCAAGCTAGGAGAGACCACATTCTTATGGTTACTGTTGCCTCTGGGGTTTCTGCCCAATATGGTCGCACTGGCACACTTCTGGCATAGCACTGTTAGTTTCCAGGATCTTCTGCTAATCTGTGAGGGCTTCATGGAGAAGTCGTGGAGAGTGGCACAAAGCAACAAAGAGCACACAGAAGGAGAGTGCATAGCTGGGCTGCGGCAGCACATGCAACTCGTGAGCACAATGTCGTGTGTAGCTTTGCCCCCTCTCCCCAGGCATTCTGGCTGCCAGTCTCTCTAACTGGGGTTCTCCAAGTGCTCTGTCACTGTGGTGGTGCTGGTAGGAGCACGTCAACCAAAGTAGATGTTCCTGGACCCCTGCCCACCACAGAGATTTGCATGTGCTTTTCCTCAAAGTTCTCCTGGCTGTTCAAGAGGTGGCATGTGGTTCCACAAATATTACAAAGGAGCAAGATAGCTAGTGGCAAACATTGACAAGAAGCCATGAAGCTGAGAAAAGATGGAGATTTTGAGAGCCTTGTAGTATCTACTAGGGATCGGAGTAGAACTGGCGTTTGCACCAAGTTGCAGCCACCTCAGTTGGTGAGTGAGATGGTGCTGGACATGCTGACATCATGGCCGTGAAGGCCTCCTGATGGGCTGAGGATTGGGATGGCTGTAACGCTCCCTTCCTTCCCTCACCGCCAGTCCACATGCCTGTACGTAGCATTATTCTAGGCTATTCTGGGAGAAAAATGGCAGCTAACAGGAGAAAGGGGTGCAGGTTCTTCCCCTCCCTGTCCACCACCGTGCCTTGGATCAGCACCACAACTGGGGCATTCTGGGTGGCTGTCAATCACAGCTGCTGCAGAAGATAAGCCACCCCTGTCAGGAAGGTGCTGCCCCTCCAGTGCCAGATTCCATCCAAACCTCCCACATATGAATGTGGTGACTTTTTAGCTCAGCTGCACTTTACGACTGTGAATGAGGTGCATTGAGCAAAGCTGTCCCAAAGGTTCTTTCCAGCTTCTCAGTTCTAACCAGACTATAGAATTTTGTATCGACACCCAGATTTTTCTTACCTGCTATGTGAAAAGATGCTGGGGAAGTCCCCATTTTGATCTTCTCATGTTTTTATCCAGTTCATTGTAGCCCATTTTAATAGCAAACTGAAAAGACATCACAAAAGGTTTTCAGCAGGCATTTTCATTACATTCGTTAGATTTGTTCACTCTGCAAATTAATGAAGAAAAGAGGAAAAGATGCATTTATAAGAAAACAAGGCAGTTTTTTTCTTAGTTGTTTCTTCATAGTTTCCTCCATTAGTTGTCAGCATCTAACCAATCACACTTCTTAAAAATTCCCTCTTGCTCTCATATCCCTCTTTGTAGCGCAACAAACACCACAATGCCCCCTTCCCCACCTTTAAATTCTCAAGTGAAACTGGCGAATGGACGTCAACAGTACAATGGAGCCAGGCAGAAGTGTAAGCCTTCCCTGGACATTTGTAGTGGACGGGTTAGAAACACGTTTAATGAATAAAAATAAACGATAAATAAAGTGGCAAAAGGTCCTCACAGACCCATCTGGTTCCGTGTTCTTCTGTTGTGACAGCATGTGATAAAGGGTGCACCTGTGTATGTGTTTTTGCTATCGCTCATTTTATTTTCAGCCCTCTAAGGAATATTCCAGATGCCTCACAGACAAGCTGGCCTCATCCTGCCGATGTGGAACTGCCTGACTGGCATTTCCTTTACAACTCCATCTTAACCAGCTGCACTTGAGGGTCTTCTAACATTATTAACCAGTGCAAAGTTAAATTTATCATTAAAAGTGAAAGCTACCCGGGTGTGTGGACTTCTTGATTTTATTGTGTGCCTGCCAGTGCCTGCTTGTTAAGAAGCGTTCTGCCATGTTACAAAGCTGAATGTTTCTGAGGAGGCAACACTTTGTGTGCTAGAGAGAGATCCCAGGGGTAACCAGGGGACAGGGTGAGACCAAAGGATGGGGATGAGCTGTCCTTAGAGCCCTGAGGGGCCCAACTGGGCCTGCGCGTCTGCTGAGAGGCTACCCATCAGTATAACACCACATTCAGTTTTTAAATAAATACATAAATAAATAAAACATTCATTCATTCATTCATTCATTCATTCATTCATTCATTCAAGGGATTTCTATAGCATTCGATTAGATGAGCTTGCAGAATGGTGTTCTGTTTTGCCCTGACCTTGGGCAGCACAGAGAATGCCATCCTCTGGTCTTTATCTGAGACAGAAAAGGTTAAGCATTTCCCCCATTAAGTGCATTGTAAGTGTGTGTGTGGCTCTTTTTGTCTGCCCATAGCATAACTTTCCTTGCATGCACTCACATTTCAAGGAAATTGCTGGAGTCTTGCTCTTCCTGTTGTGGGGAAAATCACAGGTACCAAAACTATCTAGGGCTTGGGCCCACAGAATAAAAAAGGCATCCATTTACATGTGCTAATGCGTGCACAATTGGACATAAATGCTATTAAAGTTTCGAGAGCAAACACTAAGTAAACACTCATTTCTGCTTTCAAGACAGAACTGTGAGAAGTCCCAGACCACACTTGCTTAAAACTTTCCCTATTATCCTCTACTTTACACACTTCCTCTTAGTCTTTCAGGTCAAAACCTTCTGCTTCTTTCTGGCAAGACAGAACCACACTTTGACATAAAGACACATTCAGCACGCCCTGTATCCACTCACACGCATACTGCCTTCCCCACGATGTTCACAAGCCCGACATCTTCCTTAGAAAAACTAGGTTGAGTTAATGCACTTGAGAATTCAGGCCAGGCTCCATGCAGGGATGCCAAGAGTAAGTTGAGGCAAGGACTCGGTTATCTCAAGTTGAAACCGCTGCAATGGCATCTTTGGAGCCTGCCCTTGGTGGCCTCCATTGCGGCTTGCCAGCACGTCCGCCTGCCTGCCCATGGCAGCAGCTCCATCCCTCACTGCCCGCTCAGACTCGGAGGCCGCCCTGCCCTCACCCAGCAAATGTGCAAACGGCCGCCTGAGTCAGCCAGACACTCGCTGACCCTGGTCCAAGATCAGGCGGCATGATGAGCTTGGCCCTCATTATGAAGAGGGGTTGTCCACTGAGCATCTGTTAACAGTGGCTTCTGCCCCAGTGATTCTCCCCTCGGCCCCCTGGGCTCTTGGCTGCTGTACGTGGCTGCTGCTTAGGCTGCCTTCCGCCTCCCACCCCCAGCCTCCTCTCAAGGGAAAGCCACTGAAGCCCCCCGCCCTACCCCGCCCCACTGGAAGGATGTAGCAGATCAAGCGCTGGGGGTCACAGGTGTGCTTCGTCCTGCCATCACCTGGGACTGCTTGGGAACACGGCCCCTCGACTCGCTTCCAGTGGTTTCCCAAGCTGCAGCATCACAGGCGTGCCTCGACCCCCCCAGACTGTTCTGCGTTTGCTGCTGCTGCTGCTTCAGAGACAGAAGCTGGGTGCTGGAGGTGGGACAGCCCTGATGCCTTGAAACCAGAAGTCCATACTTCCCACATTTCCTTTAGGGAAATCATCCAGACCGCTTCCAAATGGCTGCACCCTGGCCCTGACTTTTGAGTGGGTGCCCTGGGGTACAGTTCTTGTGGCTGCCAGCCTAATTTCCTTCCCTCCAGGAGAAGAGAGAAATGCTGAGCTGCTCAAACTGTAGGAGGGCATTGCCAGTGAAGCAGTCCCTGAAGGTTGGCCGGCTGGCTCCCGGGAGGCAGGGATGGACTGCGCGGAGGCAGTGCCCGCTCACGCCGGCCCGTGAGCAACTGTGGAGCTGCATGGCTCGAAGGTCCTGGACAAAAGTGGCTTCGAAGGACCTGCAAGTTTGGGAGGGCGAGTCACGGGGAGAGGTGGGCAGCCTTTCTTAGCAGCCCCTCTCATTGCTGACCCTGTGGATGGCTCAAGGGAATCCCATTCCCAGAGGTATCACCAGCTGCCACGTCCCTGGCAGAATGTCGGCAAACTTGCCAGAGAAAGGCACGGCACATAGTTCAACCCCTGTGCTCCTGTTCTGAGCCATGATTTCCTGAATGCTTCAGTGTGTGGGGCTTCTCCTTGCACCAGCAGAATTGCACAAGCTGTCCTGGTGCTGCCTTTGCTTCAAAAGCTGTGGGCAGAGTGATACTCCTGGGCCTCTGGACTAGTGCAGAGATCAGTAAACGTTCCCAGTTCAGTCTCAGTCCAGTAATGCACTAAACACTAACACACACTTTCTCTCCTTCTGGATCTAAGGTCCCTTTATATTTCTTATGATCTTTAATGAATGCTAGTCTTATTAAAATTAATAACTTAGAGCTGTAATTCCCTAAAGTGGCTAGCAAACAACTTAAACCTAAGCTGGAAAAGCAGGGGAGTGGGCCGCCACCGGCAAACAATTTAGGGGAAGAAGATCCAGCATCCCAAAGATAGGGAATGTCTCTCCTGTGGACCCTGCTTCCCAAGCATCCTCTTGCAGGGTTCACTGGGAGGGATCATGTTGGGAGACCTGCAGGAAGGATTTCCAGCCCCCTCTTCTGGAATTCCTGGAAGTGCAGGAATGGCATTAGAAAAGCTAAAGCTGAGAATGAGTTGAGGCTAGGAAGGGATGATAAAAGCGACGATGACGACAAACTCTTTTCCAGATATGTTCATTGTAACAGAGCAAAGAAATGGTGGATCAACTTCTCACCGAGAAGCACGAATGGAAAACAGATGACAAAGGAAGAGCCAAAGAGCTCAGTTCCCCCTTTGGCTCAGTCTTTTCCCAAAAGCGTATCTATGACCACCCTGGCAGAAATGAAGTGCAAACTGAAGGGTCAGGACTGAAGCCTGAGATCAATAAATGATCGAGGAACACTTAATTGCTGGACATTCAAGTTCAAGTCTCCAGAGCCTGATGAACTGTGTCCTAAAGGAACTGGCAGAAGAACTCTCAGAACCCCTGTCTATTATCTTGGAGAAATCACAGAGGATGGGTGAAAAAGGAAACAAAACTAACCAACCAACAAAAGATTAGCTGAAATTGGGCTGAACGGAGCAGCTGTCAGGATGATCCATAGCTGGCTACAGAATTGGACCCAGAGAGAGCTTCTCAGTGGCAGCTCCTCAGGTAATAAGTGGGGTACCACAGGGCTCAGTCTGGGGCCCACATTTTAGGAATGACTCAGAGGAAGAGGTACAAGGAATGCTGATCCCTCCCAGATGTTATGAATTTTGGTGGGATGGCTAATGTCTTGGGACACAGGAACGAAATTCAAAACGACCTTGATAGGCTGGAGCATTGGACTGAAAGCAACAGAATTAAATTCAGTAGGAACAAATGCCAAGTTCTGCACTTAAGAAAAAGGAAGCAAATGCACGGTTACAAGATGGGAGGTAATTGATTCAACAATTCTACAAGCAGGAAGGATTTTGGAATTGCTGCAGATCACAAGTTGAAAATGAGTCAGTAAAGTGATGTTGTTGCCAGAAAGGCAAATGCTACATTTGGCTGCATTAATAGAACGTTTGTTTCCAAGTAACATGAAGTACTGGCTCCCCTCTATTCTGCATCTTGAGTATTGTTATTGTGTCCAGTTCTGAGCTCCACAGTTGAAGAAAGATGCAGGCAAGCTGGAAAAGGTCAAAAGGAGGGCAGCAAAGATGGTCCAGGGACTGGAAACAAAGCCTGTGAGGAAAGGGTGAAAGAACTGGGCATGTGTAGCCTGAAGAAAAGAAGACTGAGGGGAGACAGGAGAGCCATGTTCAAATACCTGAAGGCCTGTCTGAGAGGAGGGCCAAGATCTCTGCTCAGTTGTGCCAGAGTTCAAGACACAAAATCATGGGCTTAAGTGACAGGAAACCAGATTGCAGCTTGACATCAAGAAAAACTTTCTGAGCAATGGACCCATGACCTGGGGAGGCGGTGGGCTCCACCACACTGGAGGCATTCAAGAGGCAGCTGGACAGCCATCAGAAAGGGATGGTTAACTTAGACTCCTGCACTGAGCTGGGAATTGGACTCGATGGACCCCTTCCAGATACTATTCTATGAAGCAAGATGTGTTGATAGCAAGAAGAGGGTGATCCTCTGCACCCATGGCTTTCCAATTGTGGAGAGAGCTTCCCAGCCTGGTACCTACACTCACAGAATCATAGTACCATAGAATAGAAGAGTTGGAAGGGGCCATGAAGGCAGTCAGGTCCAGCCCCCTGCTGTTGCAGGACACCACATCACACCCTCCCACTCAGAGTGCTGTCCAATTTTATTTTTGAATGTCTCTAGCGTGGGAGAGCCCATGACCACTATGCTGTTTCTGACAACTTCCTATTTTCCCATGAATTCTCATGTTTTGGTTTCTGTTTGAATTTTTTTACTGTATTTTAAATTCTCACAATGCTACTAGTTTATCTTTGACCTTTCTTTTCTATTCCCCATTGCAATTTTAAACTTTCATAGAATATTTCATGTTTCATTCTATGATTTTAATTGTGGTATACAGCCCAAATGGTCTCAGCTATTGGGCAGTATAGAAATATAGCAAACAAACCAATTTTGTTCTGGGGCCCTCTTTGACATTACTTATGCATGTGTTCCCTTAAATCATGGGTCCTCAAACTATGGCCTGCAGGACGGATCCAGCCCGCCATGGCCATCCATCTGGCCCCTGCCACTGTTCACCACCCACGCGAGCAGATTCTCTCCCTCCCTCCCACTCTCTCTCTCTCTCTCTCTCTCTCTCTCTCTGACACACTTCACATATGTTAATTGAAACTGATATATCCAAATTTATGTAATTGCTTTTTTTGCTTCTTTCTATTCTTTTAATGGTTCTCTTTGAGTGAAATATACAGTAACATCAATACAGTTATGATAGTATTATACTATATTAAATTCCTTAGTCACTTTTCTATGAAATTTAGATAATTATCCTCCAGGCTCTTTCCTTGTACAGCAGGCTTGGATGGGGTGGGGGCGGAGGGAAGACTTCCTTGAGAAACCCCAATAAAATACTTCAGGCATTTGCACCAGTACTTGACCAAATTATACTGATATGCCTGCCAAAAAACAGACTAAAAGGGCCAATATTCAGCATACTTTCGGTACTTGGGGTAACTCATATCTGCTTGGCTGGAAATTTGGCAGAGCTCTAGATTTCTCAGGTAGATCATGGCTGAGAAGTGGTCAAGCCGTTCCTTGTTTGCCACTCAGCCTTACTAAATGGACATTGCCAGGGTTAATTCAATTGCTTCACAACAAGCACAATCTGACAAGGAACCCCTCCGAAGGAACCTCGAGCATGTCTGATGAAATAGAATGCATCCCGTATGCAAAGGCAAAGAGACAGGAGGGGAGCAGAGTTGTAAAGCAGCGCAGGGCTGTCCACAAGTCGATGGGAGGTCTTGCCCTGTCTGCCACCGCTAATCTCGTCCACCAAGGTCTTACAGCCTTCATCCTCCTCCGTTTTCTTGGGACCAGGATTGATAGCTGCTCTGCTCCGCTGTGGCTGAGTGACTGTGGAGAATGCAGCTCCTGGAATCAGGTAAAATGCCGAGACCAAGGCCTTCCTGACTTCCAGGACCAGCATGCAGAGCATGGCTGCAGCAGCAGCAGCAGCACCGTTATTCGATTTGACGGGAAGTGTTAGCATCGTTCTCAGAGTTCCCAGGCCTTGGGCAGATGGGATGAGCCAGACCGGGCAGGCCATTTTCAACATGGCTTTAGCTACTGGGGCCAGTATCCAGTCCAGCAGAGCCCATCCTGCACTGCCAAGCAAAGGCAGGCAGTGACCTCCTCCACTGCCAGGATCCACTCCCTGATAAATAAGGCCACACTCCTCCAATCCCAGGTTCTGCCCCGTCTCTTGGTGGGTCATTTGGGCAGAGAATTGGGCTAAGATGCTTGTGGCCAGGGCTAGAAAGACATTTCTTAGATTCTCATGCATTCCACAAATGAGCTCAACAGATCATTATTCCATGCTCACCTCCTCAAGTCCTTCTAGTCTTCCTTTGGGGTCATTTTGGGAGAATAATCCTCAGCAAAGTTATTGGAACACCACTCTGAGCTGCTCTCTTGGCTTTTGAAGCATTGCAGTCTTGCTGCACTGCTTCTGCTTCGGTGTGTTGTTCCCTCTCTCTCGTCCGGGTACTTGCACCCGCCTTCCTGCAAGTCTGCCTAGAAGAGAATTGGAAGCATAAAGGCTTGACTAACACCAGTCTTGATGCATCTCCAGCACCCATGTAACTTTGTGTTGGGTAAACATTTCAGACAAGCAAGACATGCAAGTAACGAGGTTTGGTAATAAGAAAAAAAAAGGAAAATAAAAGTTCATCCATAGGGGCATAGGAACAGTCAAAAGTCTCAGCCTGTTTTTGACTTGTCTGGAAGGCTTCCTTGTGCTGTATCTCAGTAAAATGGGTTGGGTCCAGAAGTATTTGTTGGATCAGATGATGTTGCAGCTTTATAAATTGCAATTTAGAAATACAGGAATTTCATGTAGGTGGGTTTGTGCTAGGTTTTGCATCTTCTAGGTACCAAAGACCAAGAGGTAGCAGCACAGTCTGGAGTTTGTGATCTTTCTAACTCAGGCCTTGCTCATTTGTTCCAGGTTTATAAAAATTTAAAAATTATTTTGACAAGGAACCGCCTCCCACTGCAGACCAACTGGCTGAATCATAGAATCATAGAAGAGTGGAGTTGGATGGGGCCATGAAGGCCATTGGGCCCAACCCCCTGCTGGTGCAGGACACCAGTTTACACCAGCCCACTCAGAGCGCTGCCCAGTTTCTTTCTGAATGTCTCCGGTGTGGGAGAGCCCACCACCTCTCCAGGCAGCTGGTTCCTCTGCTGTATTGCTCTGACAGTGAGGAAGCTTTTCCTGATGTCCAGCCTGAACCTGGATTGTTGCAACTTGAACTGATTATTCCGTGTCCTGCACTCTGGGATCAGCAAGAAGAGATCTTGACCTTCCTCTTTGTGACAGCCTTTGAGGTACTTATGGAGGGATATCATGTCCCCCCTCAGTCTTCTCTTCTCAAGCTTGAACATGCCCAGTTCTCTCAGGTGTTTCCAAACCCTTGATCATTTTTGTCACCCTCCGCTGGACCCTTTCTGATTTTTCTGCATCTTTCCTAAATCTTAGTGCCCAGAACTGGACACGGGATGCCAGGTGAGGTCTGACTAATGAAACTTGCCATCTGTTCAGTGCCAGGTCAAGGTGGCCTTTAAAAACCATCCTCTGAGGCCTTTAAAGACCTCCTTGGCCACACAGGGGCTGGAGGAGGATCACCCATCCTGGGAGTTTTGCACAGTCCTCCTTTGCCACTGTCTGTTTCTAGCTGTTTAAAACCTTTTAATGTTTTTTTCTCGAGTTTATGTTTTGATTGCAGTTTTATTGACTGGTTTTATAGATTTTTGTTAACTGCCCAGGGAGCTTTGGCTGTGTGGTGCAATAGAAATGAAATAATAATAATAATAATAATAATAATAATAATAATAATAATAGAGAAGGAGAGAGCTAAGAGAACTTGCCAGTTTTTGGCTTTTACAGGAAACCTAGGAGGAGCCCCCCTGCCCCCTGCTTAGTATCGCAGGCAGCTCCACAAAAGTTGGTGTTTTGCTTCGCATTGTAGAAATGCAACCACTCACGGAGGCATCGTGTGCTGCTGGCGGAGCAGAAGGTGGCAGCAGGTCTAACCCAGCCAGGATCCACATCGCCCTTCCGCCTCGTAAGGACTTTGCCCCAAAGGGCACACACTGTCCGCCCGATCCTCTGGGCAGAAGAGGGTGTCCTTTGAAGCCAACTGCCCACCGTGGGTGCAGAGAGTGAGGGGAAGGGCATGGGCAGGACAGTGCTAGCCAGCCCCCAACTCCCCCCCTGCACAACAAGAATCGCTGGACATGTCCCCCCTTTCGCACCGATCTTCCTGAGGCCACAGAGCAGACAAGCGCACATTCCGTGAGATGCGTCAGTAACATGCCACGACCGTGAGGCACGCGGTTTGCAAGTCCTTTCCCTGCCACAGGACAGCCAGAGCCAAGTCTGGGACCTGGGGGCTGCATTCCTACTTTCAGGAAGCCAGTGTGGGGCCCTGATCCTTCTGCTCCCCAGCCTGGAGAGCCCAGGTGCAGCCCTCCAAAATTCTCTGAGCGTCATGCTAGACATCTCTTTAAAGAGGCAGATGCCTGACAGCCTTTCATTTCTGCGCAGAAATAAGTGCAGAGGCCCTGATACAAATCAGTGTGAGAGAGAGATCGAGGGAGCGGGGGGTGGGGGAGCATAAGGAGACCCAACCCCTTGCCTGCACTTTTCATCACAGTGGGGTTCCTGTTTGGCAGTGTGAAGTGGAGGGGCCGTGCGCCTGATGCAGACTGGGAGCGCAGTGGGGGCAGTGCCAAAGAAGCCCTCAATACGTCCGGACGGCAGCCTCCTGGGCACTGTGGGGGAGCCCCGGGCTCCTGAGCTGTCTCAGCTGATGGCAGCGAGCAGCCGGTCACCCTGCTCTGGAGCACCAGTGCAGCCGCGGCACCGGCATCCCTCCGGGCCAGATCTCTGGTTGTACTGGGACATGCCACCAACTGGTCAACAGGCCCCAGGGCTCAATTTGTGTAAGCTATTGAAACTTTTGACATCCAGTTTTGCATTGCCCCTTTTACAGTGTTTTTGTATTGTGTTTCTGTTGTGAACTGCCCAGACAGCTTTGAGAACTGGCAATAATAATAATAATAATAATAATAATAATAATAATAATAATAATAATAATAGAATTCCTCTGAAAGCTGGGTGCTGGGCGCCTTTTAAGCTTGCATGCCCAATGTCAGTTTGGCAGCATTGGCTGCACAGGCATTCCTGGAGACAGACACCTGAATAACCTTTGAGCTCCTTCTCAGGCTTTCTGCAAGCCAAGAAAGCAGAATAATGTGCATCGTAGTTTCTGCTAAAATATGAAAGGAATCTAGGAGCGCCTGAGTCACAGCTGTGAACAAATAGGCCAAATTTTGCCCAGGTGTAGACATCAACAGGTAAGACTCCTGGTTTCATCTTCTTAGCCCAGCAGCTGCATTAGAATGCTGAGGTTTCTCAGTGGCTCCATCTTGGCTTGCCTGTTTTGAGATTCAACTAATGGCAAGTTGAGGAACAATATTTGTGTCTTACTGAATACAAGAGGCCGGGATTTTCCAAACCAGTTGTAATAGTGTGTGTGTTTCATTTGCATATTACATTCAATAAAGAAACCATTCTTTGTGTAAGGCACAACTGAGAAATTTTTACAACTGGACTTCACGATAATGAAGACACTTTTCATTGATATCAGAAGAGATGGATAATTGTCTGACATAACTATCTTGTCTGTGTCAGCTGTGGAGTCCCAAGACGCAAGCTTCAGGTGTTTTTTATTCTCCCAGGCATCTGAGTGGGAGGTGTGTTTTTTTTTTTTTTTGATTCAGTTTTTGTTGATTTAAATATGTTCTTGCATTTTTGTTGTTTTAGATTTACACAATGAAGCTAGCTTTTACTTTGGTTATATAACACAACGTTAAGCTTGTTCAGGTTTTATATTTACTTTTATCATGGTGTTGTATTGTTTGATTTTTACTTCCCTAGACCAACCAGAGAGATTTGGTTATTGGTCAGTAGAGAAATGTAAAAAGTAAGCAATAAATAAATAAATAAAATAAAGTTCAATGGAAATTACTTCCAGGTGCCTCTTTCCTAACATCATAGAATTGCTTGGGTTATTTATTTATTTATTTATTTATTTATTTATTTATATGTCTAGCCTGCCCTTTTTTCTTTTCAAGGAATGGAAAGAAATTAAGAGACCTAAGAATATTTAACCGGCATTAGAATGTTTAAATAGACTAACCACTCTGGACAAATGTTAAGATAATTATGTGTCAACTCTCTGACACACCAAACGGTGCCAATACTGTCCATACCCAAGTATCAACTATGCCTGATACTTATTTTTTTTTCAGCGAGAAAATAAAACGGAATTTAAGACACTTTCTATCAAATATTGCAGCTACTGCTTATACTTAGTATCATCTGGTAACATTTAGTAAATAAAATTCAGCAACATCTGCTTTTAGCAGACCAAACAGCCCAGCTCTAGAGAAGCAAGTCCCAGGCATTCAGGCAGACTTGCTCCCAAATAACTATGTGTAGAATTGCAACTTAAGCCCGTTGCATTTTATTGAGCAAGGACTTGGAGGGGTAAACAGTTATTCCTATGGAGGCATGAAGGACAGCACTGCGAGTTTTTAAGGCGCTGGCAGGTTTGGGCAAGCTGTACTCAAGAACTCGGGCCATGTGGAAGAAGGCAAATGCTTCTCTACGTTTTGTGCCTGAGCGGCTTCTCGTCAAGGCTTTCTCCCCACCCTTCAGGGGACAATCACGACCCTCCCGCACTTTCACCATGTCCTCATCCATGCAGTTTCTTATGCCTTACCTTTTATATCCAAGTAGGGAGGGCCACGACACCAAGCTCAGCTGAGCCAACCACCAGCACACTAAATTTCACAGAAGGTTTCTTACTTCCTGCAATCCATATCCTCGTTGAGGGCCCCTTTTAATGTGCACGAGAACAGAGATTTTCAAAGTTAAGCAGCCAAGTCTCTTCCCTCAAGACCTGCCAAAATAGGCAAAATGAAGTGATCAAGAAATCCAAAGTCAGTGAAACATACTTAAATATATCTTAGGCAAGGAGAAACCGAGTGGAGAACACGTTAGAGAAGAGGCAAACATACGTATTGGAATAACCATGCAGTGTCAAGTAACAGACAGGCACGCATGAGCTATTTTTACCTCCAGCTTCGACTCTGGCAGGGCTTCAAAGATAACTGAGTGACAGAAGATAATGTCGTGCGATTGGCCGGCCCCCAGGGGTGATTCATGCTGTGAACCAGTGCATTTTCATATCATCAGGTGATGGCCGAAAATGTTTCTACAAAAGTCGTCATGAAAAATAGCAATCCAAAAATGTGCCCATGAGTTATGCGCATGATTGTCTTCATGGTGTCATTTCATAAATAGGTGATTTCATCATCGGGGCTGGGCAGATGGCCCTGTGTGCCGCGTTCTTCCAGACACAGCTCTAAAGTGCTGTGAAAGTGATGGAAGGGGCAGGCTTCGTGGAGAGGCGCTCCAGAGATGAGCTTCAGATCAGACGTGGCAGTAAAGCAGTAAAATGGGTGGAGGCTGCGCGTGGCCAGGAAACTGTGCTTTAGTATCACGAGGCCGGGGCTGCATCATACATGGGCCAAAGCGGGTTATGGAAGTTGAAGGCAGCTATGGAATTGTGGAGCGTAGGGCGGGGACCCTTAGCAGCTGCCTGATTTGCCAGCAGCAATAAGAAATAAACAGTGGCGTATGCTCCCACTTCCGCTCTGCATCATTTGGAACTTCTCCTGTTGGGTTTGACTGTCGCAAAGTCATCTGGAGTTGTGCAGCGAAACACTGTGAAGAAGAAGATCAGAGCGATACCGCAAACCTTCTGTAAGTCCCTCAAAGGCTGTCACCAAGAGGAAGGCCAAGATCTCTTCTTGCTGATGCCAAAATGTAGGACACGGAAGAATCAGTTCAAGTTGTGACAACCCAGATTCAGGCTGGACATCAGGAAAAGCTTCCTCACTGACAGAACAATACGACACTGGAAGCTGCTGCCTGGAGAGGTGGGGGGCTCTCCCACACTGGGGACATTCAAAAGGAAACCAGGCAGCCCCCTGAGCGGGATGGTGTAATTGGTGTCCTGCACCAGCAGGGGGTTGGACCCGATGGCCTCCGTGGCCCCTTCCAACTCTAGTCTTCTGTGAGTCTATGATTCTCTGTGCATTGAAATGATGAACAAGTAAAACAGAGAAAGGCGGACATCGCCTGGGGGAATGAAGGTTTCCATTTCCATGAATACACATTTTTGTCCACAAAGAACATACGGCATTACCCCAGTGTTGTCTTAAGAGCCAAACGAGACATGAAACTAGGGATGGGTGAGAAATTAGTTGGTTTCCCGTTTTCATATAAAATTGCCCAATTCACACCTCCCAGAACTAACTGTGGACCTGAATGCAATTTGCAGTTGAACCTTTATCTGTTTCTGAGCTTCTGAAAACAAATGTTCAGCAACACACATATATTTGGAGCATGTGTGGTGAAAAATATGCACATTCTGAATTTGCACCAAAATATGCCTTAGACAGTGGAGGCATGTGTACAAAGTGCGTACTTGTCAACAACGTGCACAAAATGCACACACATTGTTCCGCATTGGCCGGGAAGTTTTCTTTTTCTTGCACAAAGAAGGCCTTTGTGGGTGATGGGAACTGCGCTCACCCCTTTGCGCCCCTTTGCAACCTCCCCAGGCACTTTTCTTCCGCCTCGGCTCATCTCCGGAATATGAGCCACAACGTTGGAGTGAGAAGTAAAAGCACCAGGGCAAGTGAAGCAGCAGCCAGGAGCTGAGTAGAGCAAAGAGCCGTCCAGGGCAGGGGCAGGACAGAGAAATGAGAAAAGGCGACGGGGTTTCTGAAAGGGTGTCCACCAGCATGAGTTTGCTGGGCTGGTTTAGGCCAGTGGACCTAAAGTTTCCTGCCCTTGTTGCAGAGCAGTTTCACAGGGCTCCGTTACAGAACAGACCCTCTTCCAAGGCAGCGCTCAGCTGGCAAACAGCCTCCACAGGTGGTCTCAACATACAACAGGTACATGGGTTTTAAATTTAGTGTCAGTACTTTGAATTGTTCCTGGAAACCAGAGATGTGGGAGAGCTTTCTCAGTGACCTCAGACGAGCCTGGGAGCAATCCAAGAACTCCTCCCCCAGATCATTTTCCAATCCTGCCTGAGTTTCAGAAACACCACCGACCTATTTGCCTCTTTTTTTCCACCTACTGAATGGAATGGTTTAACCTTGCAACCTTCTATTCAGCAGGAAAATTAAGAAACTGCAGGAGCACAAGAGAATGAAGGAGACAATCACCCGTGATGGACCAGCAGGTAATGGTCTCTCCTCACTGACTTTTTGTGACTTGATGGCATGGCCCTCTGGCCTCCAACTTTGCCTGGGAGGCCACGAGATTCTTCAGGGTCTGAGCATCAGTGCTTGGACGGAGCCCCAGCCTGTCCACAGCAGGCACCTTCTCTGAGGCTGCACCTGGGCCTCCGGGGAGGAAGACAGATGCATGCTAGGGGCAAGGAAGAGAGACGCTGGGGCCACAGTCTTCCAGTCAGCTACCCAGCCTCCTTCCTTCCCCCTCAGCAGCCCTACATTCAGATGGCCAAGATCCAACACAAAGGAAAAATGGCTGCCACTGCTACGCTTGATTTCAGGCACAGGATGGAAAAACGCTTCCAAGCCTGAAGTCTTACGCACATCTGCCTGGGGGCAATCGGACTGCACCTCCAGTGCCTCCATTTCACATCCTGAACACGACGGAGCAGCCTTGCCCTCCAGTTTAAGCAGCAGAGAACAATCCAGAAATCCCTGAGGAAAAGCCAAGCATACGAGGCTCTCCAGATTTTGTGACCTACAGATACGTTGGCCTGCCCTTCCCAGGGAACCACTGCGTTGTCTGTGCTGGCCAGGTGCAATAGAGGATATAGACCAAGCATCCGGACGCAAGAAGCTGCCCACATGCAGCACAGGGGGAGGCTCGTCCACGCCTGCTCAGTTCGTCTGTGCTTCACTGACTTGCCACGCGGCTTTGGGTCCAGCACACGCCCATTGAAGGATGCGGATGTTTTTAGGGATGTACAAGAAGGTCACTCTCCCCGTGCAGGTGTGGTGCCAACTCATAGCCTTTTCCCCCTCGAAGGAAGAAGGCAGTCCGCTGGGGAACTGGGCCGCCCATTTCCTTTGATTTCTATGCCCCAGCCCATGTCAGATTCACAGAAATCAAAACTCATTTGAGTCCACAGCCGATGCCCCCAGCTTCCTTACCGTTCCTAACAGAGGACCACTGGCGATGGCTCCACCCCCTGCCACCCCACCATGAACTTGGTGTTTGCCCTCTTAGATTTTCTTCTCCATCAGGAAAAGGAAAAGTCAGCTGATCAGAGCATCAGCTTGTTCGCTCTGGTCAAGCCCATTACTGACCAAAGGCATCCATTCATGATCTTCTACCTGAAGCATGTGAAAATGGAAAATAGAGCTCTGTGTCACCAGCATTCTGCTGGCACCCGTCCAAACCACCAGATGAACTCCCCGGATAGCTTATAAGCCAACATGTCGGACATGAATGCTAAACTATAGGTCGCTTCCAGATGAGTCGCTCCTAGACTACCCACTGCGAGCTACAAGTGGCACCGTAATTGATTTTCCATCCTACTGGGAGCCAGGATGTGTACGAAATCTGTTTCGGGTTCCCTGGGCTCAGCCAGCAGCCTCCAGCCTCCTTTGATGTGAGCGCCAGGAACCAAGCCCCAAGCAGACACTGCCAAGCATTGTCCCTCTTCCATGCCATACACAGCAGCCTCTGGTTGCGCTTCTGCACATAACATGGAAGGAGCTTGCTGGTGGCATAAACTCCACCCTGTGCAGCACTCACAGGCTTCCTCTTGGCTTCGCTCGCTTCTCGAGACAGGGACAAATGTGAGAGACAGTCTGTGAACAGTAAAGGGATGGGTGGCACCGTGCTTCAGCACATCCCTAATTGATAGTATCGACCTTTTCCTATATGGACATCCCTTTATTTTCCATCTCTTCATGGCTGTGATAGGCCTGCTCTGGCTTGGGGCATTTGAGGCTCAGCACATGGGATCGATATATAGAAGAACTATAAAGCAGAGATAAAAGGAAGTCTGAGCTGTTCAAAGAGGAATCCTACGAGCAAGTTCCCCCAGTGTTAGGAAGTGGTGAAAGTTGTTCCAAGAGTACTTGCCAGGAGTGAAGCACTCAGAGTATAGGGGATACCAAAAGACGTGTTCCCAGCTGCAGGGGCAGAATCAGCCCAAACCCGAACAAGAATATGCCAAGAAATATGGAAAACCGGAGGCATTCCACACACATTCCACTCCCCAAGAAAGCAGGTGCAAATGCTGTGGCATCTATAGGGCCACTGCACTAATTCCCCATGCCAGCCAAGTGGGGCTCAAGGTGCTGCCAGAAAGAATATTACCCTGTATGGAGTGAGAGATGGCTGATGCTCAAGCTGGAATCTGAAAAGAGGCACATGAGATCCTATTGCAAATATGCATTGGCTACCAGAACACAACAGAAGGCAGTTGCCAGAAGTAAATCTCCACCTTTCAAGTAGGATTTAGAAAGGATTAGAAAAATTTGGAAGGGTGCTATACAGAATTACAGGTGTGTCAAAATGAGGATGCAGCGTCAGCTCCTGCGACCACGAGCAGGAAAACATCAACAAGGACGAGACCTCTGCTACTGTCATTACTTTGCAGGAAACAATTCACCTGACAAACATTTGAGAGGAGGAGAGGTATGATGAGCATCCCTTGACTTTGAGAGGCACCTCTGTTGCTTCCTACCTATCCTGACTCCCCAAACACCCACTGTTTTCCCCATGGAGCCAGGAACTGGTTAAAGGAGGCAGCAAGCCCTTCAAGCACACTTCTGAGTCTTATGAAGAGACTTCCGAGTTTTTAGCATTTGGATGGAACTCCCAAAGCTCTTCCCCCATCCCTGACCCAGTATTATTTGAAACACACACCAGAATCACAGGAAGTTGTAGCATTTGGGCAGTTTTCAAATGAAACAGTTTTCCTGCTCCAAAAGACAATGGTTTTGTATTTCCCCATAGAAATTAATGGGCCACGGCAGGCAAA